TTGTATTTACCCCTTGAGTCCATCCAAGACCATGTCTTGAGCGATGAAGTGGGCATATTGTCCGTGTATCAACATCGTTGGGTCGTTGGGAAACTGCTGCTGCACTCCATATCATGTCATACTCGGTGAATACACCAGTGAATGAAAAATAAGCCTTGCTATTTCACACGACAGCAAAGGTACTATTCGCCTATCCCCTTTTCTATCTTTTGGATTTTAGCCACAATCATCCACAATAAGGGATTCAAATAAGCAACAGATTTCCAATCTTCTAATTGCTCAAACTCAGTTGTTTGCTTGTTGCGCACTAAGTTTTATCAGATGAAATTAACTGTGACGTTACGTTTCATTGCTAATCGCCTATAAGTAGCGACAAGTTATAAAAAAATATGAATTTTTATCTGAACACAAAGCCTCTCATTTGTACATTCTAAATTTCATATAAAAAAACTTCCTGCAACTTTTCTATTTAAGAAATTTCAAATCACTTACATAATAAGAATAAAATGCTAACAATTGCGTGACAGATAAGTCACGCAGTGACAACCCATGTCAAAATATTATTTACTGCAAAAAGTACAGCAGTCATTGTCAAATTTCATTTTGGAAATTTCCAATTTAAATTTACCTAATTTACGAATCGATCTCATGTAGTTAGGGAGGGAATTCCATAACTTACTGCCCTGATAAAGAAGAGAGTGAAGACCGTAAGTGGTGGTGTTTTAATACTCTAGGTACAGTAAGAACATTGTCGCCCCGCAAATTAATGCTACAATTGGGTAATTTAAATAGCTTAGAAATATATTCGGGACCAAGTCCATGCAAGGCCTTAAATACAATTATTAAGTATTCTTCTATTATACAAAGTAGGGTGATTAAGACGCAATATTAACTCATCATATGTGCTTTTATCGTCATCATAAATAAAGCGGAGAGCGTGTTTATTTAGCTTTCCTAATTTGGCAGAATTGCTTCTGCCACAGTGGTGCCAAATGATAGAACAATAATCTCAATTTTTTCTTTTCAACTCAAGAAGCTAGAGTTGCTCGAGACGTAGCCTCGAGCAACTCTTACGCATCTTTCGTGCTCTCCAAACTTCCCACGTGCTTCATATCTCGATGAACGCACGCTGACGTATGAACCAATTCTTAATAGGGTCCTTTCGACATACTTGGCCGCGCGCTCCTGAGAACTAGAAACGAGCATGTAATCGAGGCTTAGATACGGTGGCCCACAGGTGCAACTGCTGCACACTGTAAAACAAACACGTTTCTAATTAAAACCTCGCTTTTTCTTTTCAATTGCTCTTGTGTTCCATACAAATGTAAGCCTGTTGCTTAGAAATGAGCCTCCTCTGTAGAAATCCGCTTCCTCCGTAGAAATGAGCCTCATCCGTAGAAATGAGCCTCCTCCGTATAAATGAGCCTCCTCCGTAGAACTGAGCCTCCTCCGTAGAAATGG